TCAAGCGCATGGCCATCCTCTCGTATGTGCAAGGTGCTCTCTTGTCGGGGATGGAGGGGAGGGTCCCAGATAAAAGTTTCACGGTCGAGGGTGACAAGATCATGATGAGGGCGATGCGTAGGGGTCTCGGGGTCAAGGGCACCGAGGACCACGACGGGGTGCGCTGGAAGTGGAGCTCTCATAGGGTATGGGCCTACTGGCAGATCCTTCCCTTGGCAGACGAACTGCGACTTCGGAGGCTACGCTGGTATCAGTCCTGGATTAAATACCCTAGCGCTCACAGGCAGGTTCGGGCATGCATACTAGGCACGATCAATGACATACCTAGCATGAACGACGACTGGACCATCCACGAAAAGGCTAACCCCTGGGCCCGTCAGGTACTTGAGGACCTCCAGTTTGCCAGAAGCCAGTCTGAGGAGTTCGCGGATTTAGTTCCAGAAGATTTTCCTCTCTTGGGTCTATTTTACACTAAGGAGTTCGACGACTGGGCCTCGATTGACCTCACAGTTATCAGGGCCACCTATTTTGCTAAAGCGATTGCACCACCTAGTGGGCCCTCGGTGGCCCCGAGTATCGTGATGGAGGAGGAGGTGGAGGAGGAGGTGGACGCCCCTGGCGAGTTCGTCTGCAATCTGAAGTACTCAGAGGGGCAGCGGTGTGGTGACACCTTCACCAGCATGAAAGCTCTTTTATTGCATGCAGGCAGAGTTCACAAAGTTCGAAACGAGGCAGCACTTCTCACGGTCACGAACCAGTGTTTCAGGTGCCTCCAGGTTCTCAGCACTCGGGAGAATGCTCAGCGACATGTTATGAGGTCTTATGCCCACAATCGCTGCGCTCTTGGACGCAGTAGCTACACGGCGGCAGAAGTTGTTCAACCTTTTTCACTCGAATGCCCCGTATGCAGCTTCACGGCTCAAGATCTCCGACAACTGCAAGTACACATACGCACACACTGTGCCCTGGGTGCTCCTACTCTCCCTCGGCCTCGACTTCGACCGCGGCATGTCGCAACCAGACGCGGAGTCCATGGGCCTGGAGCTGCTGATCAAGAAGCACAAGCGCAAGGCAGGCGACGGCGAGGACCTCGGAGGAGCACCCTCGGGGAAAAAAAAGGCCAACCTCGGGGACGCAGCAGACGAGGCAGAAGACGGTCTTCAGCAGGTCGAGGGGGCCCTTCGGGCTCGAGACATGCAGCAGGCCATATCGATTTTGCTCCAGATGGCGTGCATGCACGCGCAGCTGCTGAGGGACCTGGCGGCGTCGGAGTGGGTGTGCCTGGTCGTCCCGACGCTGAGCTTCCTGGTGGTCGCAGGGCGAGGAGCAGGCAAGATGTACGCGGAGGCGGCAGCCATCGCGGCAGCGAAGCCCCACCTGGGGCCACCACATTTGTACATAGCGCGCGGCGTGTTCAAGTCGATGGTCGATTCAGAGAAGCTGCAGAAGTTGGGGACTCAGGCGTACCAAACCCTGGTCCTTTTTTACGAGAAGTTCGTGTCGATCAGCTCGGCCGCGGAGCTAGGATTAGTGATCAGGCACTTCCGTTTGAAGAAGTGCTACAACGAGGAGTACACACGACTGCAGTTCGCGATCGGCGGGGACATCACGGTGCAGCTGGCGGACGCTCAAGGGGGCCCGCCCGAGCGTCATCTGAGCAAGCTGGAGGTGGAGCAGGCGATCATCAAGCTAGCCCAGCTGGAGGACGCGAAGCTCAAGCTCGGGACCGCCCCTCAGGGGCACTTGGAGACCATGGCGCAGCGCATCCTCGACAAGACGAAGCAAAAGAGCAAGGGCAAGGGCGCGAAGTAAGTCAGCCAGATTCGGGCCCCGCCCCGTGGGAGGCTCGTCGGGCTGCCCTCTTTGCCCGCATCAGAGCACGGGAACTCTCGCAGAATGACATTGTATGACGGACGTGGACAGCACCTCCATATTCTGAGTTCACGAACTATCTTTCCGAAGGAGCGTTGTGTACCGGAGGATTTGAGGTTGGTGGACTCCCGCCGACTCGTGCTTCAAGTCTATGCGACGGAACCCCTCGTCTTACTTGACTGCTCACAGTTGGCTCAGATGGACACTTACTTTTCACAGATACTTGACATTACACACTCAGACGGGCTGGTCCATACGTCCTCCTCGCACCCACGTACCTGATGCCGCCGCCCGACTTCGGCGTCTGCGCGCTCTCTCTCGTTCTTTGATGATGTTATGTGGTGTATTCGCGGCTTTGTGTGCACGCCCGCGCTGACCACCACCGAGTACCTGACTGCCACGTGACCTCGATGCCCGAGGCCCCGTTCCTCTAGGCCGCGCCGAGCGGGGGGCGCGGCGCGAGTGGGGACTGCCCGGCGTTGCGCCGTTAGTGACCCTCGCACCGTTGCTCCCCGCCCCCGCGCACGGCACTGTCCTCACTGTCTTTCTCGGAGTGGCTATCTTCCAGAATTCGGGGACCCACACTCCCCTCCGCTGCTTCCTCTGCTCGCCCTCTCGCCTCGTCGCCCTCTCTCCCGCGTCGTTCCCCTTTCGTCCGTCGCTTGCTGGAGTGTGGGTCCCTCCTCGGGGCGGGGCGGGTGCCTCGGAGGCCTGCCCGTCGCCCGCAGCGACGTGGGCTCGGCACTGGGAGGCCAGTGGGGTGTCCCCCCCAGCCCTCGAGGGGTCTCACGATTTGCGACTGCCTGGGTACGAGCA